AGTCTGTTGTCTACTGGAGGCGTGCTCAAATTCACAAATTTAAACGGAGTTATACAATATTAATATAAGATAAGAGATAAGACAAGATAGACTTTATTGACCCCACACTGGGGAAATTCACTTGTTACAGCAGCTCCAGATAAAACACAGCAGATAAAGAAATAAAGAAAAACACATTAAATAACTAAATAAAAAGATACACAGAATATAATTAGAGTTGTATGTAACCTATATTTTAATATAGGTTAGATATTTATTTATTTTATTATTATTATTATTTATTTAGGTTATTATATATTATTTATATATTATATATTATTTCAACCTTATTATACAGATATAATTGAAATAGAATATAGCACAGGTTCAGCAGGAGGATGTGACATGGTGTAAAAATTAAATAATTGCACCAGACAAAAATATATAAATAAACAGCAGTAATTTAGCAGAATAATATATAACAATAATAATAATAATAATAATAATAATAATATAGGCTAAACAGGGCTATGAATATACAGTACAGGTCTAATACTAATAATGTGCATGTAGCAAATTATATATATGTAAAAGTATGTGTGAATAATTATATTTTAGTGAGATTTCTTGGACTTTACCATACCTTCAGCTGTCTCTTAAAACACTGGCACACATACACACACACACATATACACATTTAAACATATTATCTGTGTATCCTCACCACAGCTTTACCTCTAATATCCCTGACCCCTTCACTAAAACCAGCCCACTAAACTCAGCACAGCCTCTCTCTTCACTCTCAGAACAAACCTGAACGTGCAAACAACAAAGCAAAACAACTACGTCCCCGGCGTTTAACAGTTTTAAACACACACAACCTAAAAGGGAAATGTTTTAAAATGTAATCTCACCAAGGTTCACGGGCATACTCCTCCATGTTTGTTGTCGTCAAGAGTACAGGGCAACGTCATAGCGTCATTATTGAGCGCCGGCGCCGTGTGTTGTTTGGGGGAAAGTCACGTCGTCGTCTCCTCGAAGATCAGAGAGGAGGTTTATATAAAGAACAGGTAGCGTATAATGTGTTATTAGCTCGTTTAATGACGTTAAAAGTGTTGGTGTTTAGTGTGAGTGCACTTTAGGGGCATTTTAAGAAGCCTGAAGAGGTGTGTTTGTTTGCTTTATTCATCCAGCTGCTGCGGCGGAGCTACCGAGCGGGCGGTGCATGTTTGGTGGAAATACACGTTTTTGTAGTAGATAAAGCCTTTATTTTAAAAGTAATACGTTTTTAAGCTGCCTTTTTTACAAACAAAACTAAAAGTAGCGTAGTAACACAAGCTAAGTTTGCACCTGGAGCCCCACAGAGGTAGGAGAGCATGCAGAGGAGGATGAAGTGAATGAGATCAGTGATGTTTCCTCAAGCAGCCAGGCTTTAATCCTGATCCAGGGACGTTTCTTTACATCAGGATAACTTTCAGTGTTGGACAACACTGGTTCTGTTGCATGAGTCTTCAACCATGTTGTTATTTACTGAAGAAGTAACTTTAATCTTGTTTTTTTTGCAAGTTTGATCGTTTTTAACACCACCAATCACCGTTGTTTGGGCTTTTTACATCACTGTTGTGGTTTTAAGAAGCTACCAGCTGTAGATGCACAGTGCTGGATATATGTGCATGTACTGTAATCAGTATTGGCCAATTTCAGCTGGAAAATGTGTTGGTATTTACTATTAAGGCCCTTTTTCATTATGGATTTATTGTTTTCTCAATAAACTCAGAATCAGAATCAGAATCAGAAATACTTTAATAATCCCCGTGGGGAAATTACTTACTGACGGATCAATAGTTTTTTGTCTATAAAATGTTAGAAATCTGTGAAAGTGCCCATCACAATTTGCTATAACTCAATATTTTGTCATTAAATGGCTCATTTTCTCTTCAGTTTACTGTCACACAAGACATAATCTAAATATATAATTGTGTCTTACATCTGGGTGATTGGGTATCTGCCACTTTGGACCGAGGTCATTATCCGTGTATCTCTGCTTCCAGCTGCTGAAGTCAGTGATTGAAGGTTTGTTTTCCTGGTTGCATCATGAGTTAATCCTCTTCTTCTCTCTGTTACAGGATGCCTCTGCCCCCAGCACTGCTGGCCCGCTTGGCCAAGAGAGGGATTGTTAAACCGTCAGAGCAAGGTAGTAGAAAACCCTCAGTCTTCAGACCTTTTTTATTCACGTTTTCATTCATTATCGCTGCATCACGTAACGACTTCTCTCCTCCAATTCTTCCAGAAATAGACGAGGAGATCATTGCTGAAGACTACGATGACAACAATGTAGATTATGAAGCCACTCGAGTGGAGAGTCTGCCACCAAATTGGTACAAAGTGTTCGACCCAGCTTGGTACGTATACTTGATTTCTACAATAAGTTCCTGTTGTTTGACATATTTTTATAGACTCTTTTAACAGTGAGGGCTGAAGTCCCTTGAAATCTTATTTATTTTTGGGAAAAGTATATTGATTTTTATAACAAATTACACAAGAAGGACAACCTCATTCTGCCACTGACATAGATTATTTAACAATGGGTCTGTATTTGTTGTGGTAAATGGGTTTAGATTATTTTAATGTACTTTTGGTTTAAAAAATATGGTTTCTCAGTAATTTGTAGCCTGATTTATATAATAAAGCCCAACTGCTTTGGAAGCTGGCCCAGTTCTGTTTATCTTGATTGACAAAAGACTGGTGATGAAAAGTGGCATTGTGAAATAAAAACTGGAAATACTTGAAATAAACTCATCTTCATTGTTGGATGGAAACAAGATTATCGTGAGCTGGGTTTTTAAATGTATTGGCTTATTTGATGGTTGTTCAGGATTTATGGGTCACGATGTCTTATTTATTTAATATTTGTGTACATGTAAGCTTGACACTCTGCTTCTTTGAATGTATTTATGGTTTAGTATTGTTGTATTTGTTGTGTATTGAAGGGCCACATTAGAAATAAGTTTTATTGTGTTTCGATTCTTGATGATTGTACAACTACTTCACTTCACTGTAACTACTACTGTGCAGACCTGTAGTGTATTCTTGATCATCAGTTAAATTCAATTGAGCAATTTCCTAATGGCAGCACATATTATTAAATAAATTATTGCCGCAAATTCAACCATTTTATTTTATTCTTCCTTCAATCCACAGCGGGCTTCCTTATTACTGGAATGTGGAGACGGATATGGTCGCCTGGCTGTCCCCAAATGACCCAACTGCAGTGGTTACAAAACCTGCCAAGAAAATTAGAGGTATGGCATCATAAAGGCTCCCTAACATAACATTTTAATGACACACTTATGATCATTGCAGTTATATTACCACGGATATCTGTTTTCATATAGTCCTCATGTATGACTCACAAATCATCATCTGGCAAAGGTTTATTTTGTGACTACTGCCTTTATTTTGCTTTTATTTATTCAGCTGAAGGAGGAGATGAAAGAATTGAGAGGCAGTTCGAGAAGCTAGACAGAGAGCGAGAGCGGGAAAGAGACAAAGAGCGGGAAAGGGAACGGGAAAGAGACCGAGAGAGGGATGAAGGGAGGGACAGAGACAGAAGAAAGCCACGGAGAGAAGACATGGCACCGTACAGTAAAAACAAACGAGGTAATGTTTACAGCCGTATCAACACAAGCATTTTAAAATTAATGATTCTATGTACATGAATGGACCATACATATTTATTTTTCTTTCAGGGAGAAAAGATGATGAGATGGACCCCATGGATCCAAGTGCTTATTCTGATGCCCCAAGGTACGATATTTACAGTCATGGTAATCAAACAAACCCTTGGTCCTCAGAAATTTAGATTGTACTTCCATAAAGTTGGGAGATGACTTAAAAACAGAACAAAACCAAAGCATTCTGACTTCCAATCACCAGTATGGTAGAGATAAAGGAGGTAGGATATTTTCATTAGACCCTCTCTGTCTGGTAAACAGGTTGTAATTTAAACTCCACAACTCTGTAGCGCAGGTTTTCTGTTCTAAATAAGTTAAGATACAACCTTATACAACTGTTGCCACAGGCTTAGTCCTACTAAACATATCCAGTAAACTGATTTCTAATGTGTAAAATTGGTGGAGTGGCCCTTTAAGGTGTGAGCAGAATGCATAAAACTATTCATTAAAACCAAACGTGTTTATCTTTACAGGGGAACGTGGTCGAGTGGCTTGCCCAAGCGTAATGAGGCGAAGACGGGTGCAGACACCACAGCAGCAGGGCCTCTGTTCCAGCAGCGGCCCTACCCCAGTCCAGGAGCCGTGCTTCGGGCTAACGCAGCGAACCAAATACCCAAGGAGTAAGCCGCGCTCCCCGGAGACAACCGACAGAGACATAGCTGTACAGTTTGTCTTAACATTTGCAGTTACAGACTGAAGTCTCTCTCTGATAGTTTTCTTTTCATTCAGAATTTTGTGTACATGTCAGAAATAAGAGTGCAGAGCTTTTATACCACCAGTGCATTCATACTCCTGTCAAACATGTAGAGAACAGTTGTAAATATGTTTTTATATGATCTAAAGTTTGACCTTGTTGTTACTAGGGCCATTTGTAGACATCATTGGTTAATAAATTTAAAGATTACTGTGAAAATGACTCAACCTTTCTTTATGGTGTGGTGGTAGATTTTGTAATAACATCTGTACAAATAAAACTCTTGACAATGTTTTATTACAAAATTGCAATTCTCTAAAATCTTAAGAAATCCATTATTTCTAAATATTACAAAAATGAAGTTTCAGATGAGGCGAAAAGGAAGCAGGGAATATTTGAATAAAGAAACGTGGATCAGTGGTCCACTGCTCCTACATAGTGACAAATACAGTCATACTCCAGAGTGAACACTTTCTCCTCATAGCGGTCGAGCTGGACCATCGCTCTGCACTTGTTCTTGTCCCGTTGGAGAATACGGCCGACCTGAACACACAAATGTGAACACTGTAATTAGTAACAGAGCAAACCAGTACACACACAACCCGCAGGAATGATGAGCCTTTGCTTACCTGTCCTCTGTGCTCGCCCAGTACAACCATTACAGAGTCATATTCACTTTTTGGAACGATGGTTTCCAGCATGTCCTGCTTCACATCTGTCACAAAAAGAAGAAATAATGGGTTCATTTATGAGTTTTTATACACAACACAGGTTGTCACACACACAACACAGGTTACCCCTCGTCTTCACCAATCCTAAGCCAATAAAGGCACTGATCATTTGTAAAATCTTAGCCATATTTATAGAACACTACTGTATTTTAGAAAATGGATTGGATATCAGAAATTTAAAGGGATAGTTTGACATTCTGGGAAACATGCTTCATTTGCTTTCTTGCATAGAGTTGAGAAGCTCAATGACACTTTCATAAAAGCTACAACTCAGAGACTGTTAGCTAAGCTTAGTTAAAACTGTTTAAAAAAACAAGTTGTGGTTTTATCTTCTTTGTTGTTTTATGACAAAGCTAGCTGTCTCCTACTGCTGCTATTATTTTGTTTGCTAAGCTAGCAGCCTTCTGGCTGTATGTAATAGACATGAGTGGTATCAATCTTGTCATGTACCTCACATCACATAATCTGTCTATTCCTTACAGTAATACCCAATAAGGTATTTTTGTTTATACTGTTTATTATCTACGTAAATATACTACATATAAACAAGATATATGTGCAGGAGGAAGCTCGGCTTTTTGTATTATTAAAATTAACAGACATGGTTAACACATATTTTGCACGTTTCTTGTACATTGCATATACAACTCTAATTAGGGAATAAAAAGAAACACCAAAGAGAGAGAGAGAGGAAACTAACACCAAGAGAGACGAAACTAACACCAAGAGAGACTCAGATGGCACTGATGACTCACCGTCTAACAGTCTTCCCTCTTCAGTTCGACACACACAGGTAGTCGGTGTCAGGACATCCTCCACACGCATCTATAAGAAAACAAGACTGATATTAACAGACGTGATAGAGAAATATATTTAATTTTTAAATCACTGCGGCTAAAGACATGGTACAACGATGTAATTAGTAAAAAACAAACACACAACAACAATATGTGTTAAAGTAACTGGGTAAAAAACTTGCCGAGTGAAATCATTTCCTGGTCTAAAATAAACCATTTGAAGATAACATCATGTGATATTTAGGTGGCGTATTAGTACCTTTGAGTTGTAGTACCTCCCCCCTTTGAAAGCTTTGTCTATAAAGCGAACTTTCAAGTCTCTCTGGAGCCAGGAGGGGGGAGCCGGCGGTCGTCTTGCCTCTTTCACTGGGGGCTTCTCTCTGTAGAGGAAACAGAAAACAAATATACAGTATGTTTACTCAAACAAAATTAATGATTTTCCAATGAATGGAAATGTATAAAATTTTAAATACTGGTCAGTACGAACAATGAAAAGCATACTGCTGTATCTTCATCTTTTAATGGAAATGTACCTGTCTGGACTTGATTCTCTGTGCTTCCTCTTCCTCTCATCTTTTCCTTCATCTCTTTCTGAAGACTTGTGTTTTACCTCGTCCCCATTACTTCGCCTGTCTCTGTCCTCCCGTCTCTGTTGCTCCTTCTCTCGCTCTTTCTCCTTCTCTTTCTCCTTTTCCTTGTCTTGGTGGGCTTTACTGAGGCGACCTGGTTGGTGGAAAAACCTGACATTAAGTCAAATGTGGCAAACACCCAAACAAAGACACAGCAGTGTTGTGAGTGTGTGCGTTTCTGAGAGGCTGTGTTTTTGTTCTTGAAAGAGGACAGCGTAGATTACTGAAAATAAAAGCAGTGGCTGAATCACTGTTGTGTGTTTTTTTTTCCACATGAAGGCTGAAATGTCACTAGAGGATAAACCTGTTTAAGCATTGGCTGATATCAAAACAAAGAATTATATATACAAAGTATTGTTCCATTATTCCATGCACATCTAGTATTCATCTCAGCCAGTAACATGTTTTAGATGGATTTTTTAAAGGAATTAATGAAAGAGAAAAACATTGTTTATGCTGTAGATTTTGGAATATGAGTGATATTTAAGGGAGAGCCGAGTAAAGTATGTCATAAGCGACATCCTTTAAGGGCATTATTATAACATAATAAAAACTCAAAAAGGGGGCGCTAACATCGTTCCACAGCAGCCACACTGACACGGCTGCCTGCAGACATTTTTTTTGTTTATGGGCCTCCTTAGAGCAGACATCAGCCAATGCATATTATCTCAAAATGCCAGATAAGCTATATCTATAATTACATGTAACTAGATTACATGTTATAAAAAAAAAAAAATCATAACTAGTTTAAATGAAAAGTGGGCAAACAGATGTTACCAAATTGTAGTGAAATATCTAATTTGACCTGCAGAAACGCAAAAATTCCAGCTCATTTTCCATAAATGTTAACCTTTTCTATTTCATTAATTCAGAGTAACTTACTGATGTCTTTGCAGTTTTTGTCGTATTCCTTGCGCCCAACCAGTTTAATAGCATACTGGCTGATTGTCACAGTCTTGCCACCAATAGCCAGCTTCACCATAACGCGAGCGTTGTCTGGATCAACGCCTTCAATCTGCAGCACATGAATGAAAGTTATAACAAGTTATTCAGAGAAAACAATGCATAACAAAACAGGTACAGTAGTAGTGCCATGACTTGATTCTATTTCAGGAGACAATTGCATGTCCACAGTGATGAATATGGATGCAAACACATTTCAGATCAACCCTACCTTGCCATACAGGTCTTTATGTGCCCCTGACTCCACCAGCACGCAGCCGCCTGGACCCATTACTAGTTCCTCCTCCTTGGGTCGCTCCTCGCCTGGCTTTGGGGGGCGTTTATGTTTGCTGGGCTCCAGGTCCTTTATTGCTGAACGATCAGCTCCGAGACCCAAGCCTTTTGGACGGAGCTGGTGTTCGATTGGCTTCACGTCTCTGTAGCAGACAGGCAACGACAGCATTTAATCAATAAAACAAAGAGATGGATATGTGCAGAGTGTGAAGGAGGCTGTAGGGGGATACAGCTTGAGCCAAGCATCTTTTGTTTGAAACATTCAGATTTCAATAGTTGTCACAATATTCACAGTAGCAAAAATACAGCAAATCAAGACTAAAGTTCAATGTCCTGCTCGGAATATATACATTAAATCACTTTAAAATCTAACAATTACCAACACTGATTTAATTGGTATATAATCTATGGTTACAGGTAACAATCATTTTAATTATTCATTTATCTGACAATTATTTTATTGATTCATTGTTATTAGTAATAGCAAAACAAATGTACATGCTCAGAGCTCATGGTGACCTCTTCAAATACCCTGTTTGGTCCGATTAACAGTCCAAAATCTAAAGTTATTCAGTTTACAGTGATCTAAAAATCAGGAAAATAGCAAATCTTCCCATTTAGGAAGCGGGAACTAAAGAATGGTTCACAAATTTGCTGGACTGATCGACTTAAGCAATTAATAAATCATCAAAATTGCTCCCAATTAGTTTTTTGTCGTCAACTAAGCAGCTCAAATACATTAACATTACAGTGATGACGATGTTATATTAGTAGAAAAAATGGTAAGCAAAGGGTAAGTAAGTTTGTTACTCACTGTTTAAAGGTGCGGCCAATGCCTTCGGTTTTTGACCAGCCCATCCCTTTAAGCATAGCGAGTCCATAAGCCTCAACAGGAACGGTCTCATAATCTGCCTCTGTCGACTGACAAACACACACAGTACAATTACCTTTTTTTAAAATAAAGAGACGTACATTAAATACTTGAACAAGAGAAAATACAGAACACCACAGTCTGTGTTAAAAGTGTGAATCAGGGCTAAATGCGGTGCTTATGTAATCTTTGAGTTCTGAGTTCTGTTTGTGGTGACTGACAGAGAGAAGCAGTTTGTGACATCTGTCTTACTCAGCCTTTTGGCTCCAGGCTGTCAGACTCAGCCCGGGCTGACTACAGTCACCAGGCAGCAGCCCCTCATCAGACCAACGGCCCGGCTCATCTCCGTCTCCCCTGAAGGCTTTCCTCTGAGGGAAACCTGGGGAGCAAACTCTCACAGAGGAGACTGCATTAAAGATGAGCTCCGGGGCACAGTGGGCAAGTTTCCCCTGACTCTCGTGTTCTGACAGTCACATCTGCGGTGACTGAGAGCAGCTACGGGGTGACAGTGACGAGGTGTGAGGACTCTGATGAAGAGAAACAGAAAGAGATCTGATTGGTTGCCTTGCAGGTCTCTGGGGAGAATGTTGACGCCTGTCTGCCACCCAAGCCGTACTGTACTGACAAAGTCATCCGTATTCATACACATGCGCTGTGTGCTGTATGTGTTATTCTACTCAACTGACCGTCAGCACTTTCACACTCTCGAATTTCAATATGAGTCAAAGTAGACAGTCTACCAGACATTTTGTACTGTCAGGTATTTTCATAATGCTCACTGAAAAACTTTCTCTAACATTATCATATTGTGATCTTCTCATCTAAAATGATTTAAAGAAATTGCAGTTAATGAATAGTCATGCCTTCCTCAAACAACTATTATACGTTTTTCTTTGAGTAAGGCAAGTAAACACAACAGTAGAGAGCTTACTGAAATAAAAAAAACATAAAGGCAAGTGTAAGTATGTGTATTTACAAGAATGTTCATGTTGGTGTAGTTGGAAAATAGCATCAGGTAACACAAAACAGTGTTTTAATAAAATGAGGGAAAAGGCATTTGATACTATACAATGAATCTAAGCTACCAGGTCGATTACCTATCTGACCTTACTGGTCCTTATATTTGTTATTTGTGCAGCATCCTTATCTTAAATTGAGCTGTTGAATCTCCTTTGCCTCTTTAAATGTATCTCATGTTTTGCTGTGCTTTCTATGACTTGACTGCTCTCCAGTTTACTTAACAATAAAACAAAACGACGTGTATATTTAAGTCGTCTGAATTGTTTTCTGCTCTCAGACTCCACTGTAGTTGAAGTGAAAAGATCCCGATGTGATATTATGGGAATAACAACGACACAGCTAACGAAATAATCTGATAAAAATATCACAAAGTATATTTCCAACCCTTGTCATTTCTCTCACACAACTGGGTCCATATACTTACAGATTCAGGCCGCAGATCCACTTTCACACGGTCTCCATCCTCAAAGCCATCGGGCACTTTGTTCTGCATCAACAGGGGGATGCTGAGGTTGAGGTTTCTCTCTGACTGAGGCCCATTCTGCCACTCCTCCAGCTGCCTCCTGGAGTCTACAAGCCCCAATTGGAGATGTGTAAGGAGCTTAAAGAGAGCTGCAAATACCCCCAGCCTTCCCATAAAACACACACACTCTCACACACACACACACACACACACACACACACACACACATATATATACATCTTCTAAATGTACACACCTTCAATGAGTTCTTTGACAGCCTGGGAGTCAACAGAGTCATTGTCTTGGGTTGTTTCTTGTGTTTTGCCCCCACTGGCCTCGCTCTGGCCCGCTCGGTCTGGTTTGTGCCAGCGGTTCTTCTGGATCAGCGGGATGATGAGCTCTTTGGGCTTTTCATTTGGTTTAGAGCTGCAGGACAGAAAATAAGTGAGCCAGCAACCAGGCAGGAGCCGATTAATAACAAAATGTTTCTTTAAATTTACTGATTTGATGCGATACTTAGCATTAGCACACGTAGCCTACCTTTGTAGTTCATTCCTGTCAATTCCGGTCAGGTAGTCTTTGTCGTCTTTCTTGGTCAAAGCGTCGCCAGTCGTCGGTTTAAATTTGTTCACTGTTTTGGTGAAACCAAACGACACTGCCGGAGGTTTTCTCTCCGCTTGGTCCCCAGAAGAAACACCTGTATCTTCCCCGTGCGACGCCATTATTGTTTGTGGCCGACAGAAGTAGGAGAAAGGGATTGTGGTAGTTGTAGTTTGAGCTCGCTGTGTTTCTTTTGGGTCAGACTTCGTAAGATACTACGATTCCCATAATGCATCGGAATTAAAAGTACAACAACCAGTTAAACTCTGCAGGTTTTGTCCTGTATAGACAATTATATTTGATTATAAACCGCAGGGATAACAGAAAGTTTGCATATATTTACAAATAGAAGGCAATCATATCTGTTTCCTTGATAATACTCAATTAATTTAAATTTTGTGGATACAATTGTCTAAACAGTAAATCCAGTAAGGTATCTTATTAGGCTATATATAACATTTTGTGTTTATTTTACATTTGTTACATGATGTATTTTACTGGGCATTTTTTTTACATTTTATGGGGCCGCTCTTTTTAAAATAATTTATTAATATATTATTATATTATTTTGTAGGAATTATATTAACTATATTCCTCCAGACTTCTCCCTTGTGCAATCCCCCTGCTTAATGACATTTTTAGCATCCTATTTTAGCATCTTGCACATTTGCATTGTTGTTGTATTAAGGTTTACTGTATATTTTATGTACAGGAATAATGTTTGTGGTTTTGGTACTTTTGGTTTGTGTCTGTTGTGTTGTTTTATGTTTTTCTTTTATGTTTGTGCCCCTTGACTGCAAATCAAGTTTCCCATCTGGGATAATAAAATGACTGAACTGAACATGTTAATTTGGGATAAAGAGCTTTGCAGTCACAGCTGAGAACCTCTACAGCTCTACAAATAAATATAATTCATGTTCTATTATTATTATTATTAGAGTTGGGGTTGCAGACAGGGCTGCCACTGTCATTATGGGGTTATTAATGCAACATTTTTCTATTTTTTGATATTAAACCTCTAAAACTGAGACTGTGGCCCAGGGGTGAAGGTGCCAGTGCAGCGTTCAACATTAGCTGTCAAAAATGTAACTGTAATTCACAAGCTTCATTTTGTCAGCTCAGCTGTAGCATTTCATTAGTGGCACCTCTTGGTGGCGCTGAGGAGCCGTTTGTGCAGCATCTGGCATTATGCCGGAGGTCAGAGCCACAAACCCTGGGAAAAGCAGTGCTTTGTCCATATAAGGCTGCAATCCATCCGCTTCCCTCTTCCTCCCCAGCTCCCTTCCTCTGTCTTTCTCAGACCTGAGGGATATTTACAGAGAGAGTGCCTCGGCCAGCCTGCCCTTCCTTATTAGGAGCTCAGCTTGTTGTCAGTACTTCTACCCGGCAGGACAGTGGTCCATCTCTCTGCTCTCAGATGAGACAAACAGATGGATGACTGGTGTTAACTGCACTTCAGTGTAAAATGGACGGGAGCTCTTTACCTAGACGTCTACTGAGCACTCATCCAGCATATGTAGTGACACTCATTTCTATCATGTCAGTCAAGCTCCTCTTGATGCACGTCCACCTGGGAGCAGCTGTAAATTAAAGTAACAGTCCAAACATACTGTGAATACATCTTATGCTCGCTGTGTGTGAGAGTCGCAGTGTTGCAGCTGTTCAGTTCCCCCTTTTTTCCTCTCCCCAGCGATGAAGGACATCTGGCTACCAGAAAACAGAACAGCCGTACACACAGAGAGATGATACAGTTATAATGTGGATGAAGCAGCAAAAAGCAAACAACCAGATGACCACAAATCGCAAATGTGAGCAATTTGAAGTCGGTCACAGCGTATTACAAATGGAGCCAGGAGTCCAAGTTAGATTCAGTGTAGTGGATGGGCACGATGTTAGGATGCAGTAACGTCGTATTTTCAGTTGAATCAATAGTTTTAACGGTGGATACAAATTCTCTCAGTGTCCATAAAAACCCAGGCAGTCGCTACAAACACAGCTTTTTTTTTATTAGGGTGCAGACATCCATTCAATATATTAGAAAACCAACATGTGAAGAAAGGCTACATGGAATTTGACTTCAAAAGGGTATTATTCAAGACTAATATTTATACACAGATAATATACATAACCATGCTCCCTTGCAAGAGAGGAATTGACAATGAAAAACTATGAAAATAATATCTTTTATCAATGGTAATAATTAAAACCATTCGTATCATAAGAGGCTTTAACAGAACAGCAATTTCTATAATTGTGCAATGACCTTTGACCTTAGCTATGGGCTAACTTTTCCCTTCACTTACTAAGTGAGAAGGTGCTGCTCTGAAATAAGTTTGTCTGTCTGGAGGACGGGCAAAGCCTCGCAGATCTTCTATTGCTTTGCAGAGTAAAGTGCTGTGGTCGACTGACCTGGTTCTGTGGTCATTTTTTCTTTTAAGAGCATGGAGTGTGTCTGTGGTCACAAAACATAAAAATGGATGTGGGGAAGTGCATAGGTGGAGAGGTAGGTGGGTTCAAACACTTGCATGTGGAAACAAAACAACCCAACAGAGCTTCGTGGACTTCCCCCTGTTGTCAGGACGTTGCTGAACGTAAAGACAGAGCCTGATTTCAGAGCTGGGTTTTTTTTTTTTTGTTGCTGTTGTTTTCTTTTTAAAGAACTACACCAAAACCTTCACTGCTTGACAACACCTAACATTTGAACTGTGAGTGGGGTTAATTCGTGAATGTGTGACGTGAGTGTGTTCACAAAAACAATAAATACTAAAAGTGGGAGCTTTAAGGCCCAAGCTGCCTCGTGCGCTCGTGGAATGTGCGTCGAGGAAGTATGTGATGCACGCATAGGAATGTGTGTGCATGTTAGTGTTCCCCCGATGCACAGTCGTGGTAGATGTTGTGTTTTCGTGTGTTGCACCAGCCGTGGGCATTCTGGCTGTTGTTGTCAAGTCTCATGTTGCTACTGTGGGAGCCTCCGACCGTAGCCACAGGCCTTCATGCCATAGGTCTTCCTGTGACAAACGGGCATTAAAAAAGGCACACAAAAGCCACTCCAGCTGTTCACAGAGAGGCATCACAATCCAAGTCAAGCTGTGGTGTTCATGTACGTAGGACATTCTGCTGCTCCCCCCCCTCCTCTCGCTCGCTCTTTGGCACTGGGAGGAATGTGTGGAAGGAGGGAGGGAGGGATGGATGGAGGGAAGGAGGGAGGGGGTTCCCTGCTCTTCGTGTGTCTCTCTCTCTCTCTCTTTCTCCGTCTATTTGGAGAGTTTGCTGATGACACGGATCAGTGCTCCATTTTCATCTTTGAGACGCTGGTTGTCTGCTCTCAGGTCAACCAGAACCTGGTGGTAAGAATTGAGCTCACGTTAAAAACAAACCAAGATATGAGACCAGATTGAATTTAATGACCTCCGCCAGGGGGTTTGTTTGTTTGTTTGTTTGTTTGTTAGCAGGATTATAGAGAAACTACTATCCTGATTCTCATGAAACTTGTTGATGCACAAATGTGTCAAACAAACCTGTTACCACAAATTGGGAAGAGGTTTTTTTTTCTTTTGCTCCCACACTCTCATAAGTTTGGTCATGAAATGATACAATGAGAGCTGAAGACAAAGGCTGATTGAGATGTGGACAAACAAAGCACAGGGATCATTATTTCTGATCTTTTCAGTTGTTATCCATCTTGCTCTCGCTGCAAAGCCTCAGGAACGGGAATATCTGGCTTTAGCAGGAGCAACTTTTGGTATTGGAAGCTGAACTAATAATCAAATCCTTAAGTAGTTTGACATTTTGGGATATACGTTTATTTTCTCTGTTGCTGAGAGTTAGATGAGAAGATTGATACCACGATTACCAGTCCGTCCAGTATGAACAGACTGGCTGGCTTTGTATGAATGCCACAACAATTCATTTGCTCTTTTACAAGGAGTTGTGAGCTGGACAGTTTCTAGATATAAATGTATGTATGTATGTATGAAAATGCCACAATGAAAGACTTGTCTATTCCCTAAGCCTCAGTATACACAGTATAGTACAGTAATGTCATGCTATCACACACTAAAGTATTACAATATAAACAATAATCAAAAACTGAAATATGGAAGAGAAGGCACAGAGGGTTAGTGACGTCTTATTTCCAGAAGCTGTCTTTAATGATGCTACGATATTACTACTACCATATTATAACTAACCCAATAGTAGCAGTGAAAATAAATGTTATATATTTAACGTTTGAGAACAGCTTGTGCTCTTTTCCTGCACCTAGCACCATCTGTCTCGTCCAGATATGGCTGATTGCTCCCTATTATTGTTGCTTCACCATCAACCAGCAGAGACTCCAGTCTAGAGACATTACCTTTAGTCAGAGCCACAGTAGCTCCCTTGTTTCCAGTCTTTATGCTAAGATAATCTACCAGCTGGTGGCGGCAGTAGTTACCATAGAGGAATGAGAGTGGTATCAATCTTCTC